CAATGACTCGCCGAAGGTCTGGATGGGGCACCGGAGGTCTGGGAGTGCTACATTGCCAATATATGGTACGCAAACTTTTATTTATGGGTGCAGTATTGCGTTTTGAAATATTCCATGTGTTTTGCAAAGTTTACAGTAGTATTCCACCTTTACTTTGTACTTTCAGTAGTGGAAACACTTTCTTACTTTGTGTATATGTGGTTACATTGTCTGAGTGTGAATGTGAGGCGTATATATGGTTGATTAACGATGGGTTGTGGAGGGGACCATCAGACAAAATATATAGAAATGTGTGTTTGCCTTTTTTGTTGGGTAACTGTGTAAATGTTTGCATAATAGGGTGCTGGGGGGACCACTGGAGAGCAGTGTTTGGTCTCTGTTTGTAAAATATAGTGTGTGGGGACCATTGTGTTGATTTTTTGTTGTTGTATATTGAAGTGCAAGTCTTATCTATTGTATATGTGTTTTATAATCCATGTTTATAGTTTCTGTGTGTAAAAATAAAATTTGTTTTTGTAATCATTCAGATGACATTGATGAAAATAGATTTACACTTAAGCTCAAGCATGGTGGTAAAATATTAATGACTGAGCCAGTAACATATGTCGGAGGTCATGTAGATTATTTTGACTACATGGATGTTGATGAATGGGGGTTTATGGCTTTACAAGACAAAGTCATAGAGTTAGGCTACACAATGAGTGAATGTAAGGTATATACTGTTGTGGGTGAAGGTTTAATTGAGGTCATTTCAGATAGTGAAGCCTGGGATTTAATTGATTTTAGTGATAAGGAAAGGGAAGTAGAAGTGTGGATCAACATTGGAGGGTTAAATAATGAAGCTGAGACTGATGTTGAAGTGGGAGAAGATTCTGATTATGAAGCTGAAACTGAGGTTGAAGTGGGAGAAGATTCTGATTATGAAGCTCAGGGTGAGGTTGAAGTGGAAGAAGATCCTGACTATGAAGATGATGGTGAAGAAGAATTGCGTAGTCTAGGTGAGGATGATATTCATTTTGAAAAAGCAGTAGATCCCAATGTAGAATACCATGGGATAGGACCAACCACTACTCTGCCAAATGTGGAATCTGAAAATGATAAAATGAATGTCCAAGTGAACTATTCTGATGATGAGACACCTCATGGAAGTGATGAGGAAGTAGAGGATGACATTTGGCCAAAGTTTAGAAGTTGTGACATGGAGAACCCCACTTTCACTGTTGGAATGACATTTGCAGAAAAAAAAAGATTTTAAGGATGCCATAGTGAGTTATGCATTCAAAGAGGGGAAAGATATAAAGTTTGAAAAGAATGACAAGGTAAGATGTATTGTGAAGTGCAAGAAAATTGGTTGTCCATGGTCAATAACTCTGAGATGGATTAAGGATGTGAACTGCTGGAGGGTTACTTCATTCAATGACACTCATGATGGCTGCTCTTGGATGTGGGAGAATTCATGTGTAAGGTCCAGCAGACTAGCTAAGAGGTGGAAAAAAAACATAGGCAGTAATTCAACCTGGAGAGTCAGTGAGTTCAGGGAGAGAGTGGCTACTGATGACCACTTCCATATCACCTCTAAGGTTGCTTATAAGGCAATGACAATGGCTAGAGCTGTTATTAATGGTGAGCTTGAAGATTATTTCAAAAAGTTTTGGAGTTATTACTTGGAGATTGAAAGATCAAATCCAAGATCTCGTTCAATTGTGAAGATGAGTGAGACTGTAGAAGCAGGAGGAAAATCAAGATTTCTAAGATGGTATATATGTTGGGAGGCTTGTATGAAGGGTTTCCTACATTGCAGAAAGATTATAGGGGTTGATGGTTGCCATTTGAGATCAAAGTATGGTGGTTATTTGTTGATTGCAACTGCCATGGATCCCAATGATGGAATCTTCCCACTTGCCTATGCAATAGTTGATGGTGAAAACAAGGAATCATGGACTTGGTTCTTAGCACTACTTAAGTTTGATTTGGGAATTGATGAGGCATCTGAATATGAATACACCTTCATTTCAGACAAGCAGAAGGGGTTGCTGCCTGCTTTTAGCTCACAACTAAAAAATGTGGTGCATAGGTTCTGTGTAAGACATTTATATGCTAACATGAAGGTTGCTGGTTTTCATGGTAATGCACTGAAGAATGCACTATGGTCAGCAGCAAGAGCCACCACAGTAAACTCTTTTAAAGACTCAATGAGGAAGATCAAAGACCTTGATATTGATGCTTTTGCTTGGTTGGGAGACAAACATCCTTCTGAATGGTCCAGGTCACACTTTACTGGTTTTGCACTCTGTGATATGTTAGTAAACAATGTAAGTGAGTGCTTCAATGCAATGATAGTTAAGGCTAGGGAAATGCCATTGATAAGCTGCCTTGAGATGCTTAGGACTATACTGATGACAAGATTATTTAAAAATAAAGAAGTGGCATATGGGTGGACTTCAGTGATTTGTCCTAACATTGTTAAAAAGATTGCAGAAGAAGAGAAATATGCAGGAGGATATATACCATTACAGTGTGGGTTGAATCTATTTGAAGTGAAAAGACCACATACAGGTGAGCAACACACTGTAGATTTGGCCAGAAGAACATGCTCATGCAGAAAATGGGATTTGACTGGACTCCCTTGCAGACATGGCATTTGTGCAATCTGGATGAAGAGACACAATGTGTTAGACTATGTACATAACTGCTACAGTGTGGAAACATACTTGAAGGTGTATGAATTAGGCATTAATCCAATGGCTGGACCAAATGAGTGGCCTCATTCTCTTTTAGAAGCACCCTTGCCACCTGAATACAAATCAAAACCTGGGAGGCCAAAGAGACTGAGGTTGAGAGGAGCTGATGAAGCCAAGGACAAAAAGAAAATCACAAAGGATGGCGTCCATATGTCTAGAAGTCATGTGGTATTACATTGCACATTCTGTAAACAAAGAGGCCACAATAGTAGGAGATGCCCACTGAAACCTGTAAGTATTACATTACATTCTAGTTTTAGTTATAATTTTTTGCATGTATTACATTAACTTGTAAGTTGTTACTCTTGTAGAGAAACCCTCAGGCACAAAGAAACCCTCAGGCACAAAGAAACCCTCAGGCACAAGATTCAAGAGCAGAAGTATACCATTACATTCTAGTTTTAGTTACAATTTTTCCATGTATTACATTTACTTAATGTGTTTTATGTTTGTAGAGAAACCCTCAGCCACAAAGAAACCCTCAACCACAAAGAAACCAGCCACAAAGCAGCACAACAAATCAAGATGCAAGAGCAGATGAGGTTGATGTACCAGCAGCCATGTTTGATGTAAGTTTTAACTTAGTAACATACCTTTCATACAAAATGCTTGTTTTACCTAACATGATTACTTTCATACAGATTCTATTCAAGATGCAAGCTCAGAATTAGTTCAACATGATTACCAAGTAGAGATTGAGGTTGAAGCACATGAAGAGATGACATTACCTACTGTTCAAGAGGAAGTTACTGCTGTTCAAGAGGAAGTTACTGCTGTTCAAGATCAAGTTGTTACTGTTGTACAAGAGCAAGTTAGTACTGCACCTCCACCTGCCCCTCTCAGAAGGCAAAAGACCCTTGGTTTAACAAAGAAAAAACAAAAAGTTGCTCAGCCACAAGGGAGGAAGTATAAAACAAGGTCTTCGTCTTCTTTGACTACGAAATTCAAGAACACAGCCTCCGAACCAATCGAGATTGAATAAGGCCTTCAATTTATGTGAAAACTGATTGTAGTTGTTTTGGATTGTTCTAATTCTACTTGATTTGGATAATGCAAACTGATTGTGGGTAATACTCCCTTTAGCATTGTCTTTTGGTGATTGTGGGTAAACTGATTGTAAAGCTTCTGTTTTTTGAATAGTCTACCATCAATGAAGTTTATCATTTTGCTAAGTTCCAGTTCCAGTTCCAGTTCATTTGTTTACAGTTGCATATTGTTTACATTTTCCAGTTTCATTTCCAGTGCCTTTTCATTTGCTAAGTTCCAGTTCATTTCCTAAGTTCCTGTTCCAGTTCACTTGTTTACAGTTGCTTATTGATAAGTTCCAGTTCCAATTTCATTTGCATTCTAAAAACTAAACACAATTCCAGCAAAGTAAACTTCCATTCATAAACAAGTGCCACAACAAACAAAGTACACATCATGTTATAGGGAGTCTACAACTATTACTCCCAGTTTCAACAGCTTTGTGGTACAAGTAAACCATACTAAATGCTACAACAATTACTACAAACGATTTAATCCTAAATCTAAAGCCTCCTTTTTTGCCACAATTACAATTACAATTACTTCCACGACCAACAGAGGGCACTGCCATTGCTTTTAACCTCTCAATCTCCTCATCTTTTCTATTCATGCTTCTTAATAAGCCGGGAATAATCTTCTTCGCACGTGAACACATGGGAGGATCGAACCATTCCTTGAATCCACATCCGACACCATCCTATCAACAAATTCAAAAATTCTTACAACAAGTAATAATTGAGAAATTTGTAACAAAAAATTGAACCTGAAATGCTCCTTACACAAACCCAAAACCTCCGCCCGGGATTTTCGCTACTCCAAGAGGTTTGAATGCTCCATTCGCTGCCACAATTGCATATACGCGTAGGGATTGCATCGCCGTAGTGGTACCTCTGTCTTGGCGAAGATGATGACGATGAATAAGAAACCTTGGTGTTTTGCCTCCACTGTGTTGACATCGTACGCAAGAGAGGAAGAAGAAATCAAAGTAATCTAGGGTTCTTGGTGTTTTTTTTGCTCAGGCGTGAAGAAGAAACGAATATGTGAAGGGGATGGCAGTTGGGGAAGGCGCGGTGGCAATGAAAGGACCAAAATGCCTTCCTATTTAACGCCCAAAGGATGGAAAATGTAACGGAGGACGAATTTGGGGTAATTTTCAAAAGTCAAGGGACCACATTGGGTGCAATTATAAGTCGGAATGCAAAATTGAGAATGAGCCATAGTCAAGAGACCAAAATGGGAAAAAACTCTCGCGAAGACATTGCATTTGCGAACGTAGTAGGCAAGCGTTCTTCGAGTGGTAGGCAGAGGATTAGTCCCAGGGAGTTTTTTTGCTACCGCATACAGTCTAGAAAGTCAGTTCCGAGTACCATACTATTTGCACGGCGGTTGTTCCAACAGTTTGTGGTAGATGGATACAGAATGGTTGAGTCTGGAAGACTAATTTATATAAGGACACACCAAAAAAGCCTAAGGTGTGAGAGTTACAGTGGATTGACTGATGCTTTAACAAGGGGTGAACTAAACCCCGCAGCACAAGGTCGCAGAATAATACTACCGTCAAGTTTTACTGGTGGTGCTAGATACATGATACAAAACTACCAAGATGCAATGGCAATATGTAGATGGATTGGATACCCTGATTTATTTATAACCTTTACATGCAATCCAAAGTGGCCTGAGGTGCAACGCTTTTTAAAAGATCAACGGTTGAAGGCAGAAGACCGGCCGAACATAATTTACCGCTTATTCAAGACGAAGTTGGATGCCTTGATAGCTGATTGTCGAAAGAATAAAATATTTGGCCCTGTGGCAGGAGGTAATATTTGTTATTATATTTTAAATCAAGGGTCCGTTTGGAAAGCAGGAAAATGACTTCTGGAAAATGTTTTCTGGAAAATGAGTCATTTTCTGGAAAACATTTTCCTTTCCGGTGTTTGGTTGCATTCTGGAAAACTGTTTTTGTGTGTTTGGTTCATTTTCTGGAAAATGAGTAGAATTGTATAATTAAACATTTTAATTATTTTATTTAGAATATTACAACATGTATAATAATATAATAATAATTTTAAATATAATAAAAAAATAACTAATAATATATCAAAAATATTATGGTGGTGGTGGTGGTGGTGTAGTGGTAGTGGTGTTATTTGTTATATAATAATAATAATAATAATAATAATAATAATAACTGGTGGTGGTATGACGGTGGTGGTGGTGGTGGTGGCGGTGGTATGGTGGTGGTGGTGGTGGCGGCGACGGTGGCGGCGGTGGTTGCGGTGGTATGGTCGTGGTGGTGGCGGCGATGGTGGTGGTGGTGGTGGTAGTTGCGGTGGTATGACGGTGGTGGTGGCGGCGGCGGTGGTATGGTGGTGGTGGTGGCGGCGGTGATGGTTGCGGTGGTATGGTGGTGGCGGCGGCGGTGGTGGTAGTGGTGGTGGTGTGATGGTGGTGGTGGCGGCGGCGGTGGTTGCGGTGGTATGGTGGTGGCGGCGGTGGTGGTAGTGGTGGTGGTGTGATGGTGGTGGTATGGTGGTGGTGGTGGTGGTGGCGACGATGGTTGCGGTGGTGGTGGTGGTGGTGGTGGTAGTGGTTGCGGTGGTATGGTGTTGGTGGTGGTGTGATGGTGGTGGTGTGGTGGCGGTAGTTGCGGCGGTAATAGTGGTGGTGGCGGTGGTGGTGGTGGTGATGGTGGTGGTATGGTGTTGATAATGTTGGTGGTGGCGGTGGTGGTGGTGGTGATGGTGGTAGTGAGGTGGTGGTGGTATGGTGTTGATAATGTTGGTGGTAGTGTGATGTTGGTGTAAAAGTTGGAAAATGACTTCCCCCAAAAAAAAAAGGGGAAGTCATTTTCCTCCAAAACAAGCCTATTTTCCAAAGTCAACGGAAAATGATTTCCGTTGACTTGATTTTCCAGGCACATCCAAACAATGAAAACTTGGAAAATGATTTCCAGAACTCATTTTCCAGGTTTCCAAACACACCCCAAGTTTGTTACAATCTTATTTAATTACTTAAGCTTATGATGTTTATGTCTATGTTGTTGCAGTCATATATACAATTGAGTTCCAAAAGCGAGGTCTTTCGCATGCTCATATATTGCTTTTTTTGGAGAAAAGTAAAGAAGTTAGGCAAGTTGTTACTCTAGACAACATGATCTGCGCAGAGATCCCAGATGAAAAGAAAGATGCAGAGTATTACCAAGCGGTAGAGGAATTTATGATGCATGGTCCATGTGGAAAAGCGAGGACCAATTCTCCATGTATGGTAAATGCGCGATGCTCTAAGCATTTTCCTAAGATATTTGTTGAGAGTTCTACATTTGATGACGATGGTTACCCGGTATATAGAAGGAGAGACAATGGAATTATAGTTACAAAGAACGGGATCGCCTTGGACAATAGGTATGTCGTACCGCACAATAGATATTTGTTGCTTAAGTATAAGGCTCATATCAATGTCGAGTGGTGCAACCAGTCACACTCAATCAAGTACCTGTTCAAGTATGTTAACAAGGGTCATGATCGGGTTACAGCAGAATTTTACAAAACAAGCAATGATGACGAGAATGGGAAAGCAATAGATGAGATTAATATGTACTATGACTGTAGGTACATATCCCCATGTGAAGCGGTTTGGCGTCTGTTTGGTTTTGATATACAGCTTAGGGTGTCTTCAGTGGAAAGGTTAAGCTTTCACCTTCCTAATCAACAGAGTGTGATATTTGCAGATGATGATGCTGTTGATAACATTGTTAATAGACCTACTATAGCACAGAGCATGTTTCTGGAATGGTTTGAAGCAAATAAAACATACCCCGATGCAAGAGAACTTACCTATGTTGAGATGCCAACATGATTCGTTTGGAAGAAAGACCTTAGAAAATGACAGCCACGGAAAAAAGGGTTCTCAATCGGACGTATATTCTATGTCCCGCCAGCTACTGGAGAAATCTTCTATTTGAGGTGTTTGCTGAATAAAATCCGTGGCCCTAAAAGTTATGAAGATATTAGGACTGTAAATGGCGTCCAGTATGACTCATTCCGAGATGCGTGTTATGCAAGGGGTTTAGTCGATGATGATAACGAATATGTCGATGCAATAGATGAAACCAGTAATTGGGCGTCAGCAGATCAACTGAGGAGATTGTTTGTGACATTGCTAATGAGCAGTTGCATGGGTAAACCATAAATAGTTTGGAATGATGTGTGGCAACATTTATCAGATGATGCACAATTCAACGTCCGTAGACAACTGCAGAATAGAGGTAATCATATATTTTTAAATTATTTTATGAATACCGATAACACAATATTAAGTCAAATTGTTGTAGGTGTGTTATAACACCAAATTTTTATATATACTTATGCAGAATTTGTGTTGTCCGATTCGCACAAGATGAACTTTGCCTTAGTAGAGATTGAGAAGCTATTATCTACTCATGGTAAGAGTTTGAAGGACTATCCTGAAATGCCAATGGCAAACTTTGGGGCCTTAAACGTTATTGCAAATAGATTTATTCAAGAAGAATTAGCATACGATTGTGGCGAACAGGAGAAAGAGAATCAGGAATTGGTAAGGCAATTAACAGAAGAACAAAAGGTCATATACAATGAAGTGTTAACCGATATTGATCGCCAAGATGGGGGGTTATTCTTCGTTTATGGTTATGGAGGGACCGGTAAGACTTTCTTGTGGCGAGCACTTTCTTCCGCATTAAGGTCTAAGAGTGAAATAGTGTTAAATGTTGCGTCAAGCGGCATAGCTTCGCTTTTATTACGTGGTGGCAGGACTGCACATTCTCGGTTTGCTATACCGATAGCTGTTAATGAAGATTCCACATGCAACATCCGTCACGATAGTCAATTGGCAGAGCTACTTGTGCAAACCAAGTTGATAATATGGGATGAAGCCCCAATGATGCACAAATTCTATTTTGAAGCCCTAGACCGAACTATGCGGGATCTGTTGCGCTTCATAAATCCAAGGAGTTCTGAAATGACATTTGGTGGTAAAACAGTTGTTTTTTGTGGCGATTTCAGACAAATTTTACCAGTCATTCCAAAGGGTACAAGACAGGATATAGTTCGAGCGAGCATTAGCTCATCGTATCTCTGGAAATCATGTAAAGTTTTTAGGCTTACTAAGAATCTGCGCTTGAGAAGTGTTCAATCAGAAAACGAGGGTAAGGAGATCGAGCAATTTGCAAAATGGATAGCTAATATAGATGACGGAACAATTGGTAGTCCAGTTGATGGTGAGTACGAAATTACTGTTCCAGAACATTTGTTGTTGAAGTGCGAGGATGACCCTATTGCTACAATTGTTGATAGCACATTCCCTAATTTTAGACTGGGAATTGGTGATTTGTCATAGCTTAATGATAGTGCAATTTTAGCTCCAACATTGGACGTGGTAGATGCTGTTAACCAATACATGAATGATCATAATCTGACTGAGGGTAAGACATACCTGAGTAGTGATTCTGTTTGTAAGTCAGATTCAAATGTTGACATGTTAGCGGATTTGCACACTCCTGAATTCTTGAATGCCTTGAGATGTTCTGGAGTACCAAATCATGTTTTGACTTTGAAAGTTGGATCACCTGTTATGCTATTGCGAAATATTGATCACACACTAGGATTATGCAACGGTACAAGGTTGATTGTTACAAGGTTAGCTGACCACGTGCTGGAAGGACAGATCATCTGCGGTACAAAAGCAGGAACCAGAGTATTGATTCCTAGAATGTCACTTACACCGTCAGATCTAAGATTGCCTTTCAAATTTCAACGAAAGCAATTCCCTTTGATGCTATCCTATGCCATGACAATCAACAAAAGTCAAGGACAAACGCTTGCTAAAGTGGGGTTGTTGTTGAAAAAATCTGTCTTTAACCATGGACAATTGTATGTAGCTGTTTCAAGAGTTAGTAACCCTAAGAGTTTGAAAATTTTTATTTACGGGGCAAATGTACCATGTCTTAGTACGACTAAAAATGTTGTGTACAACGAAGTCTTCAATAATGAATAATAACATTCCACAATTTATTATTTAAAATTTTGTATTTTTTTTAAATACTATGTTTCTTATTCTTATTATATTATACGTAATATTATATGTTATATATAGGTAGTCATGCATCACATTGTTTGAACGATGAAGTCTCCAACAATGTCTAATAAAATTACTAAATTCATCCATGTGTAATAAAATTACAAGGAATTCATTTCAAATTTTTTCTAGTTCAAATATTCTATTTTCTATACTGTATATATATCATACTATATATATAGTCGCGCATCGCGCGGGTGCACCTACTAGTAATAATAATAATAATAATAATAATAATAATAATAATAATAATAATAATAATAATAATAATAATAATAATAATAATAATAATAATAATAATAATAATAATAATAAGTTTTTTTAAAAAAATTAAAAAAGATTAAAAATATAATTAAGCCAATTATATTAACATCTTGGGGTATTTATTGACAAAAAGAATATTCAAACCACACACCAAATTGAAGTGAGAAACGACTCGCAATATGCTTGTTTGGCAATCAGCAGTTAGCTCTTCAATATTAGTATATATTTAATATTTTATGCACTAATTTTTATTTGCTCTCCCTTATGTCCCGTATTTGGTTGCAACCACACCAATACAATTATTTTATTGACAATTATAATCAATCTTGAGTATAGTATCTTGCATTTGTAAACTTAGAATTACCTATTTAAATACGCAAATTTAACATGCAATTATCTATGCATGAAAAATTCCATTATAATCTTTCCTTGATATACTTTAAAGTACTTATTAAAAAAAAAAAACATTGGGCATTATCCCAATCGCGCAATGCGCGTAAAAAACTAGTTAGAATATGAATTTTAACCTAGAATTATACTACAAATAGAAAAACATAAAACAATATATTTTATTAGAAAGAGAGATTTTTTAGGAATTATGCGGAAAGTTAAAGTTCAGGATTTTGATTTTATATATAGTATAGTAAGAATAGGAATTATATCACACTATTTTATAATATTAGAATATTAATTTTAACCTAGAATTATACTGCAAATAGGAAAACATAAAACAATATATTTTATTAGAAAGAGATATTTTTTTAGGAATTGGGCGTGAAGTGAAAGTTCAGAATTTTGTTTTTATATATAGTATAGATTAGATTAGAATAGAATTGAATTACACTATTTTATAATATAAGAATAAGAATTTTAGACTAGAATTATACTACGAGTCAGAAAGTAGAAAACAATATATTTTTATCTGAAAGAGAGATGTTTTACGAATTGGGCGGAAAGTTAAAGTTCAGGATTTTGTTTTTATATATAGTATAGATTAGAATAGGAATTGTATTGCACTATTTTATAATATTATAATATTATAATATGAATTTTAACATGCTCTGTCGGGTCGGAGTGTGGGGGCCCTTAGGGTTGGGGATTCAGCCTTTTGGGGTAAGAATATGAATTTTAACCTACAATTATAGTACGAATAAGAAAGTAGAAAACAATGTATTTTTATTGGAAAGAGAGATTTTTTAGGAATTGGGCGGGAAGTTAAAGTTCAGGATTTTTTTAAATATATATAGAATAGAATATATAATAGATTAGAATAGAAATTATACTACGAATAGGAAAATAGAAAAAATATATTTTATTAGAAATAGATATTTGAAAACGAGATTTTTTAGGAATTTGGGCGGGAAGTTAAAGTTCAGGATTTTGTTTTTATATATAGAATAGAATATAGAATAGATTAGAATATAAATTATATTACACTATTTCATAATATTCGAATATGAATTTTAACCTAGAATTATACTACGAATAGGAAAATAGAAAACAATATATTTTATAAGAAATAGATATTTTTTACGAATTGCGCGGGAAGTTAAAGTTCAGGATTTTGTTTTTATATATAGTATAGATTAGAAAAGGAATTGTGTTACACTATTTTATAATATATATGAATTTTAACCTAGAATTATAGTACGAATAAGAAATTAGAAAACAATGTATTTTTATCGGAAAGAGAGATTTTTTAGGAATTGAGCGGGAAGTTAAAGTTCAAGATTTTGTTTTTATATATAGTATAGATATAGATTAGAATAGGAATTATATTACACTATTTTATAATATTAGAATATGAATTTTAACCTAGAATTATACTACTAATAGGAAAACAGAAAATAATATATTTTATTAGAAAGAGAGATTTTTTAGGAATTGGCCGGGAAGTTAAAGTTCAGGATTTTGTTTTTATATATAGTATAGATAGATATAGATTAGAATATGAATTATATTACACTATTTTATAATATTATAATATGAATTTTAACCTAGAATTATACGACTAATAGGAAAACAGAAAATAATATATTTTATTAGAAAGAAATATTATTTAGGAATTGGATGGGAAGTTAAAGTTCAGGATTTTGTTTTTATATATAGTATAGATATAGATTAGAATATGAATTATATTACACTATTTTATACTATTAGAATATAAATTTTAACCTAGAATTATACTACTAATAGGAAAACTGAAAATATTATATTTTATTAAAAAGAGAGATTTTTTTTAGGAATTGGCCGGGAAGTTCTAGATTTTGTTTTATATATAGTATAGATAGATAGATATAGATTAGAATATGAATTATATTACACTATTTTATAATATTAGTATATAAATTTTATAATAATAGTATAATACTACTAATAGGAAGACAGCAAATAATATATTTTATTAGAAAGAGAGAGATTTTTTTAGGAATTGGCTGGGAAGTTAAAATTCAAGATTTTGTTTTTATATATAGTATAGATAGATATAGATTAGAATATGAATTATATTACAGTATTTTATAATATTAGAATACGAATTTTAACCTAGAATTATACTACTAATAGCAAAACAGAAAATAATATATTTTTTTCGAATGAAATATTTTTTAGGAATTGGTCGGGAAGTTAAAGTTCTTGTTTTTTATATATAGTATAGATTGTATAGATAGATATAGATTAGAATATGAATTATATTACAGTATTTTATAATATTAGAATATGAATATTAATCTAGAATTATACTACTAATAGCAAAACAGAAAATAATATATTTTATTAGAAAGAAATATTTTTTAGGAATTGACCGGGAAGTTAAAAAGTTCTGGATTTTGTTTTTATATATAGTATAGATAGATTAGAATAGAATTGTATTACACTATTTTATAATATTAGATCAGGAATTTTAACCTATAATTATAGTACGAATAGGAAGGTAAAAAACAATATATTTTTATTTGGAAGAGAGATTTTTTAGGAATTGGGCGGCAAGTTAAAGTTTATGATTTTTTTTTTTATATATAGTATAAAGTATAGATAATACAAGAAAATATATGGTGGATGCATGTGCATGGTAACAATAATAAAAAAGATAACGGAAGTTATATCGGTAGAGGTAGTTCTATAGTACAATTCAAAAAACGCAATGTACCAAATGTTAGCACTAAAAATATGAATATAAATTAACGATATAACTTTGATTAAGAGTTATTATGTTTTTAGATATTTGAAAAATTCTTCTTATCCTCATAATTTGTATCCTTCTAAATTCCCTCAATGACATGTCTTCTAATTATTTGGTGTTATGAAATGATGTCCAGGCTAACTTTTAATAAAAAAAAAAGTAGAATAACTAATCAAATATTGTAATGTAAAAAAATTAATAAGAGAGAATTTTTTAGGGGTGAGTAGTTTACTCGATATAGTATTTCTGTGGATCCACGATTCCGTTTTGTTGTTGACTTGTTACCTATATATGTTTCCTCTTCTGCGGTTCTACTCTCCGCTTCACACCTCCACGCTCACGCGCGCATGTCACCGGATCGCCATGGCAACCGCAGGTGCTCGACCTCCGGCGTCGACATCACCGTCGTCTCCGCCAAGGACCTGAAGAACGTGAACTGGCGTCACGGCGATCTCAAGCCCTGCGTCATCATCTGGATTGATCGCGACCGCCGTATAGCAACTAAATCTGATGATTCCGGCTCGACCAAACCCGTCTGGAACGAGAGTTTCGTTCTCCCTCTCACGCAATCGCCACAGGAATCGCTGCTCACCGTTGAGATCTCCCACTCTGTTCCCTCCGAAACCTCCAAGCCGTTAGTAGGCACGCTCCGGCTCCCGCTCAAGGACCTGGTTGACTCGGGCGATTCAACTAAGGTGAGAACGTTCCAGCTCCGCCGCCCCTCCGGTCGTCCTCAGGGTAAGATACGACTCAAAATCGCCGTCTGGAAAATCCAGGAATACCAAATTCCTCCTCCGTCTAGCTACTATTACTCATCCGCCCCTCCGCTGCCGGCTACACGTGACTACAGGCCACACAATCCATCTCCTTGCAGCTCACACTCGCCTCCATTACCTGCAACCGCCTCACCACCGCCTCCTCCGCGGCCGTGGCAATCCACCGCGCCAGGACCGAGTGCACCGGAGGATTATGCACAGTTAGATCACAAACGCAGCAGAAAGATGGGAGCGGGAGCTGGATTGGCTGCCGGAGCGACAGCTTTGAATGTAACAATTCGTAAGGAGTACTCTTTTGGATCACTGGTTAAGGAATTCTATAATTTATAATATAAACTGCATAAATATATGTTTATGTTTAAGAAGGTGCCTCAATGATTAATCGGGTTTAGTTTTGTTGTCAACCAATCTGCGAAGCGGGTTGTCCACACTCTTGTTAGGGAGGTCATTTTCACCCCTAAATTGCGGGGAGTGGTTTGATACCCCTTCTCATTATCTTGTTGCTATTCTTTATTCTGATTTAATGAATTAAGTCTTTAATTTCCTTCCAAAAAACATATATGTTTATGTTTTTGTTTGAGTGTATGAATGCAATGGTGTATTTGGGGAATTAATTAATAGCAGATTGTGTAAGCTATTTTGACTTTTGACCAATTACTAATATTTTACAATTTATAGAAGGGAAAATTGTAAAAAATGTCCCTCTATAATATGTCAATTATTAATGTCACCCCTGAATTATAAGTGGTGTAAATGTTGCCCCTCAATTATCAAAACGGTGCACATATAGTCACTCCCGGACCTGTGGTTTCTCGTTAGTGTACACCGTTAAATCAGAGTACCCTTTGTTTTGTTTTTTCCTTTTTATTTCTCGACCTCAACAAACAACAGTTTGGCGGCGAGCAACCCACACAGCCCACAGCCGCCACATCCATAGATCAACGCTGCTCCGCCGGAAGTTCACCACAACTGTCGTCGTCCCAGCTCCACGTTGCCTCAATGGAGCGTTAACCGGGGAATACTGTCCACGTTGAATAAGAGGGATGAAGGCTCTGTCGCACTGCCTCGACTTGTTCACGCCAGAAGAAGACGTACCGACGGACTATTGTTTGTTGAGGCCGAGAAAGAAAAAGGAAAAAAATAAAGGGAAAATATAAAAAGAATAAAGGAAAAAACAACTAAATTACATATTTACCCAACTTAACGTTGTACACTAACGGGGAACCACATGTCCATTATGGGAGGAGTTATATGTGTACCGTTTGGATAACATTTACACCACTCATATATGCCACTCATTATTGGCATATTATTGAGGGGTAATTTTTTCAATTTTCCCAAAAATATGTTTACTAAATTAACTACTCCGTAATTATTATTAGTTTGATTAGGAGTAAACTGACTTGAATGTACCGTGTTTTTTTGAATGTACCGTGTTATTTTAAGTTTTAAATGTAAATGGTTATGAACTCTTAATCTTCATAAATGATTCTAAGATTTGGGTCATCACCAATTATACTTTTCTAAAGATAAAAACATCAATGTATCATTTTTATTTATTTAATTATTATTATTAAATTACTTTAAATTTTAAATATTTAAAATACTAAATGATTTTATTATAAAATAATAATAATAATAATAATAATAATAATAATAATAATAATAATTTTTATTATCAAATGCCTAATAGCAATCAGAAGAATTTAAAATTTTTCTCCATTTTTTATGAGCTCCATCACTATTTCACTCTAACTCAACAATTCTTCAGTAACAGTTATGTCATTTAGTATAATACTTAATGATTGTACATGTGTATATATTCAGATATTGAAATAACAGAATGACAGGTCTCTTGGCTTATTGTGTTCTTCATCTCTTCTCTATCTTCTTTATCTAAATTCCCATTGGTCAATAAGTTTGAGCTAATAGGCTTATTACAACACGTTATCAGACTTTGCTCTACATCAATTGATAAATCCCGTGGCAAAGACGAGTGTGAACCCTTTTTTTTCGCCACCCTGATCTAACGACAGCTCAAATCCGAAGGTTTTTGATGCGGATGATTCAAGATCTGGTGCCGCGAGGTCGCCGAAGAGGTCCGATCGGATCGTGAGAACCCTCGGACGATTGTCGGTATCCGATCGGACCACCAAACATCAATCTTACCTCAACCCGAGCACTATCCATACCAATCAAAACATGACCAGACGGCAGATTGACCGGCAAAGCCGCCATTGACGAAACCTGGGACGATCGCGAGACTTCACCATAGTCGTCCGATCACCCATCTGTTGAGGGCGATCACCATGGGAAGGCCGGACGAAGGCCTCGGATGACCTTGGTAGAGGTTCGCCGGCCAGTACACATCTGATCGCCTCCTGGGAGAATCGGATGGCGTCGATTGAATCGAGATACCGAGGACAACGTGCTCGGAAGATGTAATATTTAGAGTAGCATTTGCGGCTGCATTTCTGCTCTTACCATTGCCTTACGAGAAGATAGGCGGAAACCCAGTTCCCACCGTCATCTTCAAGAGAACGCCGGAGTATTGACGATGTCCCTGTTGTTGCCTTCGTCGCAGGCAACATAATCTCCTAGCGTTTTATACAGAGTGATATGATGGCAGAGGCTATTAGAAAGGAGTTTGGCATATCTCTCTCTTTCTTGTTTTTTTTCCTCCAGATTAATTAAATGGATTATAGATCCTACTGATTGAGGTAGTCTAATCTGATGGTTCAACATAATCTCCTAGCGTTTTATACAGAGTGATATGATGGCAGAGGCTATTAGAAAGGAGTTTGGCATATCTCTCTCTTTCTTGTTTTTTTTCCTCCAGATTAATTAAATGGATTATAGATCCTACTGATTGAGGTAGTCTAATCTGATGGTTCCATTTTAGTTTTTCAAATCGCAGGCAACTATTGGATGAGTCTTCGGGTTCTTCCAGGGAATCACTGTTTTCAATCTGAGTTCTTGATCTCGATCAATAGACTCCTAGCGAGAATTATCAATTACAAAAATAAAGAACCAATATAAGAATGAAGGGATTTCGGAACATAGCTCATACTGGAACTCATCAAAGAGCTGAAAATGTTTATGAACAAATTATTGAAGGAGATAGTCCGTGGCTTGGCGGGGTAGTGTGTATTTTGTAATCCAATCGAGAGCCTTAATAAAGCAGTGGATATCAAACCTTAGACCGAATGGAACTATACGAGTGGATAGCAGCAAACGTGTACTAATTATCTTCGGTGAACGGTATTCTTCTATTAAATCCAGATTATTTATCTATGTTTGGTGCTATAAGGCTATATGAGCATATTTGATACATGATTATGTTGTGCATTGGTTATATTTTTTTGAATGCTCACTTGTTTTTTTTCTGGATTTTCTAGAAATGTTTTATTGGCCTTTGAGAATGTATGGTAGTGATATATAGTGGCTTGGCAGTAGGTGGTGTTGATATTAATTATGGCCAAATATCCAGAATGCTCCTAATCCTACAGTGAACACATGCTTATCCATATATGATGTGCATATTCATACACTTGTGAAGGTAGATATTCTGTTTAATTGCCTGCAAGTTAGTTTGGGACTCTTTTGAGAGCTCATTGAAAGTATGAATTTGCAATTAAGTGTAATTGTGGATTATTTTTCGAGGCTAGCTTTTATACCTCTATGAATATATTGAGGTATAGGCCATAAATGTCTTATTATATGATCGTCCTTGAAGGATCGTCTTGATCAACAAGTGATTATAGCCGAAATTCTAAACATAGCATTGCCCTGAAGGCAACAAGTCATAGCACAAATTAGAAATAACAGCACTAGGGCGGTTTCCCCAATGAAAAATTGGTTTTGTATTGTTTTAAAAGTTAATTGATGGTGCTAATTTGCTATGGAAATTATTTCACATCAGTCTTGGGGCATTAGAATAAATCTTAAATCTGAGTATTTAAACAAAATGATAGTGTCTAAGTTTTAATATAGTTTTACCCAGAAGGTAAATCAAGAGAACTAATTTTATCTGTCACCCGCTATCTTGCCCCAAGCCCTTGATTATAAAAATTTGATCGAAAAGGATTTATAGACGCTAAGTCAATCCCGGAAGGATATTTTGGTGTACGCGGGTCTCATTGTCATCTATGATGGTCATATTGTACTCCAGTAGTAGTACATGACAAAATTATGCTAAGTGTTTGGTCATCGGGCTATTTTTTAATAAGGTCTGGTAGACCCTGGATGTGGATTGATCTTTAAAGTGACTAATGACTTATGAATGAAGTTGCAACTTCTATTTCTAATGCTATGCTACTCTCCGAAAGTCAAAATTGACTCACATCATGTTGGTTTGCCTGAAGCAAACAAGTTGTGATTTTTTTTTACACATAGTAATCACTGCCTGAAAATTCTGACCGGCACAATTTGAAAATTAAATTCGTGAAAAATACTTCTTGAACTCCTTTTGGAATGAAATTTTTCCTGGAGAACCTAAACTTGTGTCATTTGATATCTATAAAAAGTTTTTGTTGAAAATATGCTCCAGTTATCCCAGAAAAGTTTGTAAAGTTTTGGCAGTGTGCTGTCAATTATTTTTTTGCCTGGAGCAATGTTGGGAAAAATTTCAGGAAAAATACTTTTAGACCTTGGATTGACATGAAAATTTTTGTGTACGTTCTATACTTGATGAACTACATATCTGCAAAATTTTGTGTCAAAATGTGTTACCGTTTTTCCAAGAAAATTCTGCAATCCAGGTCAAAATTCTGGAAATTTTCTGCCGTTTTTAGCTTGTATATCTTGCTATTTTGTGATGTTTTCATGCTTGTATGAAACTATGAGATAAAGTGAGAGCTTGCTTGCATGCTTCTCTTTAATTGACAACTTTTACCATATAATCTCTTGGATTAGGCTCATATAAGAGCCTTTGTTATTTCTTGTTGGCAATTAATTATTTGCTATAGGCCATAGCTATTGAGATTCATCACCCAACTTATAAGTGTGGCAATAGCATGAATTCTCAATATGGTTAGGTTGCACCTGTCGTTGTTAAACCTTAGCTTGCATGTGATAATAGTTAAAGGCTATGACATGTTTACAGTGCTAGTTTCTGCTATAGAAACTTTTTGACATGAGATTTGGGCATATGATATTTAAATTTATAGCCCTCATTGTTTTGCATATTTATTTGCCCAGAAGGTAGATTAAGGATTTTAATTCTCTAATGGCCCGTTTGGTTCACGGAATAGGCTGG